CCTTTTGAGAAAAACAGTGAAGCTGTGAAATCTTTAGAAATATCTTAGCTCAGTTTAAAACTTCTTTGAAAATGACTTTTTCAACATTTTGCAAACGAATGCAATCCGAATAGTGCAGATAAGCACAGAAGTCCGCCCCTCGGGCACCACACTCAATTAAAAGATAATGTCAGGCAATCCAGTAGATATCACATAAAGTAACACAAACAACAGGTAAGGAAAGCAAATAAGATAAAGTAAACACACGGAACAGTACTAGTACCGCTGCGGCGTGCAGCCCGCTCTACATACCGCTGCGGCGTGCAGCCCGATCCGTTTATCGTCGACGGCGCTCACTTGGGGTGTGCAGACTCCGGGAGGGTCCCCTTACGGCCCAAGCGCAATAATTGGCCATCTCGTGGCATCAACTAGGCCCTCGGCCTCATATAAATATCAATATCATACCGCTGCGGCGTGCAGCCCGATCCTATACTCAGTCCAAAAATCACATAAGCCCCTCGGGCACAATCATATAGAAATATTCAGCCCAAACTTCATTAAAAATATTAATTAGGTTTCAAGTTTAAGAAAAGGTGGCTGAGTTTGCAAAACAGTATTAAATACTAGGACTGAGTTCAATGATATGCACAAATGGTAAGAAACCAGTAATAGCAATCCCTGAGGATTCAATCAATTGGCACGAAGCCCAAATATAGCAATCAGCTCAATTAAAATGATAATAAGTGAATTTCAGTCAAATACGCAGTATATTCATCTACCGGGACGGAATAAGTCACAATCCTCAACGGTGCTCTACCCCACGCTCGCTATCCGGCGTGCAAGTCACCTCAATATAGCACTACGGTGTGCAGATACGGGGTTTCAAACCCTCAAAATATCATTTACAATCATTACTCACCTCGAACCGGCAAAATCTCTAGCTCGCGACGCCTTTGCCTCTCAAGTCGACCTCCTAGCGCGTCGAATCTGACCAAAACCACAACGAATACGTCACAATATGCCAATGGAACAATACCCAATCGAATAAAATCGTGTTTTTAGTTCATAGGGCTTACCTCCAATCAATCCCAGTCGAAATCCTCTTCAATTCCCGTCCAAAAGCTCTCAAGGATGATAAAAAATGGTGGAAATAGGGCTTAGCTCGCGGATGAAATATTTATTAAAACCCTTCTATCCAGCTGACATTTCTTCTATGCGAACGTGAGGGCCCTCTCGCGTTCGCGATGCACAAAATTTACACTGGCCAATTTTTCCCTTCGCGAATGCGGAGTCTTACCCGCGAACGCGATGCTTTAGCTGCTACACTATGCGAATGCGAGCCTTATGCCGCGTACGCGAAGAACAAATTTTACGGAACCTCAAATCCTCTTATGCGAACGCGGCACACATCACGCGAACGCGATGCATACTCCCAGGGCCCTTCGCGAACGCGATGATCTATACGCGAACGCGAAGCACAAAGACTCAGGGACCCAACTCTCTTCTACGCGAACGCGTGCTCCTCACCGCGAACGCGATGCTCCAGGACTGTCCCTTGCGAACACGGGCCTACCGTCGCGAACGCGAAGGCCAAATCTGGCCTGCACCTGCTGCTGCATTTTCTGCAATATTTTCCAACTCGAAACTCCCCGTTAGCCATCCGAAATCACCTCGAGGCCCCCGGGACCTCAACCAAAAGCACCAACACATCCTAAAATATCATCCAAACTTGTTCCAATCATCAAAACACCTCAAACAACACCAAAACTGTCAAATTACTTCGGATTCAAGCCTATGTTCTTCTAAAACTTCCGAAACACGCATTCGATCAAAGACCCAATCAAAACACCTCCGAATGACCTGCAATTTTGCACACACATCGCAAATGACATAACGAAGCTACAACAACTCTCAAAATTCCATTCCGACCATCGGATCAAAATCTCACCTATCAACCGGAATTCGCCAAAATACTAACTTCGCCAATTCAAGCCTAATTCTACACCGGACCTCCAAAACCAATTCTGATCACGCTCCTGAGTCACAAATCACCTAACGAAGCTAACCAAATCATAAAAACTCCGATCCGAGCTCATATTCAAATAAGTCAACTCTTGGTCAAACCTTTCAAATTCAAAGCTTTTAATTGAAACTGTTCTTTCAAATTCATTCCAAATTTTCCTGAAAACCAAAACCAACGATCTACATTAGTCACAATACATAACACGGGGCAAGTCATGCCCGAAAACTGGCGATCAAAGTGCAAAAGCTCGAAACGACCGGTCGGGTCGTTACAGGTGGTGAAGATGGATGATAAAGCCAATCGCCGCTTTTGGGAGAAATTCTTCTACGTTCGAACAGAGCACGTAGTATCTAACTCTGTGGGGATTCCTCATGTGTGGAATTTAGCCCGTAGGTTTCCCTTTCCTTTTATTATATTATATTTTTTTTGAACATGGCTGTTGGTCGTCTCCCTTAAGTGACCGTCGTGCGTTTTCTATTTTCGCAGCCGAGAGGGTGCCTCCTCGCAAGTTGCCAATATTCACGAATGGGTGAGCTCGATTCTGCCTCACACGATGGGGATTCGTGAATGGGCGCCTTTCCACGAGAGGTTTGGGCGCAAACCTTCTGCTGGTAAGTCGGCTTATTTCGGCCTTAGTTGCTGTGTTCTTTGCTCCATCTTTTTTTTTATCTTATATCTTTGTTTGGTCGGATTTCTTATTGGCAGGTCGGAGAGGAGCGAGAAGGGAAAGGGATCCTATCCTTGGCTTCCGTCAACCGGCTTCCTCTGCCCGGCCCGTACCAAGGGTGACTGTGGATGATGGTGTTCAAAGTCTGGTTGCTCAGCGGATCGCGTCCGCGATCGAGCCTGTTCGTTCGGGGGTTACTCTTCGATCGGACACTCTGATTCCCACAGCTTGCTCAACGGACAAACCTTCTTGTGTTAGTGGCGAAGAGGCCCCGTCAAAGAGGCGGAGGTTGTCAGAGGGGACATCTTTGGTTGAAACGCCCTCAAGGGGGGACCCCACATTGGCGGTATCTGAAGCTGGCGGTGATACCGGCCTGGGTGTGGAGGCGATGCCCGTCTCGGACGTAGAAGAGGCTGCCGCGGCAGGGGGATAGAGTTCGGAGGCCGGCGCGATTGTTCCGAGCGGTCCATCGACATCTCGGCAGGGTCGCGCCCCCTCTTCGGCTAATGAGAGGTTGAAGGGCGTAGTGGGAGATGACTATGAATCTGATTCTGATATCGACCCTAAGGATATGAGGATGTTCGAGGAAGGTTTTACCAGGGCCGATGTTGTCACACCCCTTTTCTACCCCCCAAAGGAAGATAAGCGTGTTATGGATTGTGAGTTAAAGGGTTTTTCCAATTAAAGTGACAAATTTGAGTAGAGATTATTTTATGTACAGAGTCGCCACTTGGAATTTCTTTTGGGTGTTCCAAGTCACCTTTTGTTTGTCTCCCTAGTCAAAAGAAGATTTGACTCTATTATTATTGGTCTGCGAAAACAAAGTCCGCGTAAGGAATTCTGTTGACCGGGGAGAAGGTGTAGGGCATTCCCCGAGTCTCGTGATTCTAGCACGATCGTTTTATTAACTTAAAACTTGGCTTGAATTAACTTTGGGAAAACTGTGATTTATATGATTTTCATGTTTTACCTATCCGCTTTTATTTCTTGATTATTAGAAAAAATAAAGAATATAATAAGATATCATAATCACACTACCAAGCGAATGTGTGACCGAGACAAAGTTTATTAACTTAGTCACAACAGCTCTACGCAAGCAAATCAACAGTCATGACAAAAAATTATTAGCACGTTATTACTTTTGAAAAAGTTACTACACTTGAAGAAATTAATTTTTGAAATTTATTAAAAATTACTATCGCGCTATGCAAACGAATCTGCGATCATGAGAAATGATAAAATTATAAATTAAACTAAAACTATTGGATAAGGTATAAAATTAGTTGATTAATTTATTGAATATTAAATGAGCCCAAGGACCCCGCCCTTTAGGATTAGTAGTCCCAAGTACCTCTGGGACTGATAGGATTGGGGCGGGTAATAGCATGCAATAAGTAAACGAGACCATTCCGCGCTTTAATACCTTAAAGGGGTGGGAAAGGGTAGATATGGATATGATGACCACGCGATAACATCACGCGTAAGAGTGATTACCGGATGTTGTGTGGGGTGATCCATATTATTAATAAACCTAGGACTCCCTTCCCTTTGTTTCTTTGTTTCTTTTAAATCCTTTAAACGTTTCTTCTAAATCAACTCTCTTTAATGCTTTCCGACTTTGTTTATTTCTAACCTTTATGTGAAAAAATCCCCTCTTATTTGAAGTCCTACTTGCCTATGTGTTATTTGTACTTAAGTCACAACAATAGCTTGGCCGGGAACCACACTAGTGGATTCTGAGGGGTGCCTAACTCCTTCCCCTTGGAATAATTTCAAGCCCTTACCATATCTCTGGTTATCCAAAATCAAGCTCTTCTAAAGTGTCCTAATGCACTTAAATCATTAGGTGGCGACTCTTCAATTCCATTAAACCCAATTCCCAAAAGGGAACGAGTTGTCCTCCTAAATGTCATAAACCCGATTTCGCGAGAAAAAGGGGGCGCGACAGCATGGCGACTCTGCTGGGGACATTCTTTTAGGCTTTTACCATTTCAAGCTATTACTGTGACTTTACATTTCTTATATGCCTTTATTTGTTTAATCCCTTTAAGCATTTAATTCCTTCTTCTATTACAAAACTAACTTGTCTTTTGTTTCTTTCTCTTGTTTCTTTTACTGCCTTCCTTTACTGCATTCCTTTATTACTGTTTTAAATTATTGTAATTATTATTTTATGAACGTGCAAATACGTGACAACTTGTTTTAATTATTGCATAAGCATGTTTTCAACATCATATTCCACTCGTGCCAAACAAAATACCATAGCAACGCTTATAATGAGTTGTTGCGCCCTTCCGATATTATCACCCCCTAAATCCGGCAAAGCCATATTTATGGTAAAACCAATCGATCAACGGTGTAGTCGACGGTTCCGCGCCTTTCCCTCTTGAGCTGTCTGCTCAAGAGTACCAGTATAATACCCCATAGAAACCTTACTCTATTTAATTGTGCATGCATCATGGTCAAACCTAGCCGATCAGTTATGCTGTCCACATAATGACTCTTTAAGATAACCTTGTCCAAAGTCCACTGGGTTTCCCTGAAACCCAAACGGACCTTATCACGTTCTATGCATTTATTTGGAGAACTAAAATGCTTTTATGCTAATTGTTGATATTAAATAGTCGAGTCTGGTGGGGGTAAGGGCCTAACCTTTTTGTCTTGCAGAAATATGAGGCATGAAGTCCCCAAATTCGGCATGGTCACCAACATCCACCCCAAACTGCTAAGCTGGTGGAAGGATCTTCATTCCAGCGATCAGACTCTTGTCCGGAAATACCTGGGAAACCTACCTTCTCTCTTGGAAATTCAACCCAACAACAAAATCATAGAAGCTGCCACTCTATTATGGGATTGTGATAGGTCTGTGTTCCGCTTTGGAGACATTGAGATGACACCCCTGCTCGAGGAAATAGGAGGACTGACTGGTATACCGTGGGAAACTCTGGGTTTGTAAATGCCGAAAAACCGCAAGGGTAGAGGATTTCTCAAAATGATGGGTCTAAAGAAGAATCCAGACATGACATGTTTGAAAGAGTCATACATTCCCTTTGACTATTTGTACGAGAGGTACGGCCACAACAAATCTTACCGTACTTATCCCGATGAGTTCGCCCTTACATCATTGGGGCATATTCACCGAAGGGTCTTTGTCTTCATGTTCTGTTTCTTGGGGATGATAGTGTTTCCAATGAAGAAAGCAAAAATCCATACCAGGCTAGCTATGGTCACCAAAACTCTAATGGAAGGAAATGAAGGCGGACATCTGGCCAGAGCCTACTTGCTGTTGGGACTGCGCGAGCTAGGAAAGCTGTTCGATGGAGCCAATGATGCCGAGTCTGGGGAAGGTCCCTCTGGGACCAAATAGATAGGAATTTCCATTTCCGCTTATAAAATGTAATAAGGCCAGTGGCCATTAGTGATTTTTATTTTCTTGCTATTTAGTGTCATTTTGGGATTCGTCTACCTTTTATCAATAAAATGAGGCATTTAGCATTCTAGGTTCTCCAAATTAACTTGTCGCTAGGCCTACCTCGGGCACAACGAGGTCCCTAAAATTAGGACGCGCTTTATATTTCAGCACTACGTGTTTAAATATTGCAACATTTCTCTAACGAACCCTCACTGACTTGTTACCTTTTTATTTTTACTTTTTATTTATGTATTCCCCTCCCCAAAGGTTAGTTCGTGAACTCTGGCAACATCATCCTATTTCACAAGATCCAGGGGCCCTCCACCCACTCCTCCTCTCAGTCCCGTTAGACACAAAACAAAGGAAAAATGGAAGATTCGAACAACTCAGCTGAACGGATAGAGGTCACTCATGGTACTCTGGTCCCCAAGGAAAATGCATCCCAACTAGAACAAAAGCTGTTGAAGTTTCAAGAAGAACTTGATCAAGTCCGGAATCTGGAAAATCTGTCATTTTCCCTCACCTCTCCAGAGGTTACTTTCCCAAATACTCAGAATCCTGTACCTCCACAAAATATCCCAAAGCAACAAAACCATCCCATTCCTCACCACCACTGCAATACTTGCCATACCTCAAATAACACCTCACTGCTCATCCCAGAACTCCAGAACTCCACAAATGACCACTGCCACACCCAACATAATACCCCCATCTACGTGGAGACTATGCCACACTTCACCAGCCCATCTCAAGCACACCCGAGTCCGATGAAAGGACTTGCTCATCAGAAATTTGGCCGAAGAGCTTAAAAAGTTGACTAGCAGAATTCAAGGCGTTGAAGTTAGTAAGGGAATTGAGGGGCTAAACTATGAAGATCTTTGCATACAGCCCGATGTCGAACTGCCCGAGGGGTACAAACCTCCCAAGTTCGAGATGTTTGATGGTACAGGGGATCCAAGGGTCCACTTGAGAACATACTGTGACAAGCTGGTCGGAGTGGGAAGAGACGAGAAAATCCGCATGAAGCTTTTCATGAGGAGCTTGAAGGGAGACGCCTTATCTTGGTAAATTAGCCAGGATCCAAAGAAGTGGTCGAGCTGGGTAAGCATGGCGTCTGATTTTATGGACAGATTCAGGTTCAACACGAAGAATGCACCAGATATGTTCTATATTCAAAACTTTAAGAAGAAACCCACAGAGACCTTCCGTGAGTATGCTACTCGATGGAGATCAGAAGCTGCTAAGGTTAGGCCTGCTTTGGAAGAAGAGAAAATGAACAAATTCTTCGTTCGGGCCCAAGACCCATAGTATTATGAGAGACTGATGTTGATTGAGAATCATAAATTTTCTGATATCATCAAGCTAGGAGAAAGGATCAAGGAAGGCATCAAGAGTGATATGGTTACGAACTTTGAAGCCTCGCAGGATACCAATAAGGTTTTACAATCTGGTGGTACGTCTAAGAAAAGGGATATAGGTGCTGTAATGGTTTCACAGAGGACCAAATCCCCTATCAAATACCAAACCTATCCAATGCCTCCACCCACATATCAACCTATTCCAAATTACCAAGCACCCTCACCCTCTTACCATACTCCACCACCCACCTATCAGTCATCTCCACCTCCCGCATATCAGCCCATTTCACCCAAATACTCCCAACCAGCACATGTTTACCAAGCCTACAACACCCAACCATCCCACTATCAATCACCTCCCCCACGTCATAACTTCCCTAGACCCCGACTAAATTTTGACCGCAGACCTCCCAAACAGTATACCTCCATTGCCGAACCAATTGACCAGCTGTACAAAAGGCTCAAAGCTGCTGGTTATGTCACCCCTATCCCTGCTATAACACCTGAAAACTCTTCTCAGTGGGTCAATCCAAATAAATCTTGTGCATACCATTCCGGCATGAAAGGACATACAATTGATGAATGCCGCTCTCTGAAGGATAAGATCAAGACTTTGATTGACAACAAGATCATTGTAGCAAAGGAGCCTGCTCCGAACGTCCACAATAACCCTCTGCCAGACCACAAAGGTGGAGGTGTTCACATGATCGAGATAGAGGATGACTGGGACCCTAAGGGATCAATCGGTTTAATCACAGAAGGCGACGATCCAAAGAACCCAGTAGTCACCCTTAATCCAATTGTGGTCCAGATTCAGCATTCTGGGGACGCCGGGGTAAACATGTCCATGCCGCTCGAGTTTGAAGCACCATCCTCTGCAAAGGCACCAGCGCCGATTGAGGTTGAGTTTATGTCACCAGCAAACACACCTACACCCTTTGAAGTTGCAGTTTTACCACCTGAGGGGCCTGCTCCGTTCGGGGTAAAAATAGCCACGCCAATTCTAGTGGCAATGTCGGCCATAACACCATTCCATACGAAGGTTGGGACTACACGGCTGAGGCAAGAACCTGGCAAGAACCTCCAAGGAATCTCTAAGCCCATCAAGCTCAAGAAACATGGCACCACCTTCGGATTAGGATATGAGTATACTTGGGAGGAATTCAACCACTGGTCATCACCATGGCGCGGTCCTTACTATCCTTGGGAGCAGCCAATACCCCGTTTGGAGCAGACTTTCCAACCGGACGAAGTTATCTATGGGTTAGAAGAAGAGGAAGCACTGGCAACAGTGAGGAATTTGTTCTTGGAAGATGATAATATGGATTATTGCGTCGTTTTCGAGGAGGAGGGGGAGGAAGGCCCTTCCATACAGGCTGTAAGCAGAGGAGAACGCCTCAATAACTGGACCATCAGAACCACCAGAGCCCGGCGAGCCTCGGGGTAGCAAGGCTGAACAAGCATCATGCACTATCTTTTATTTTTACTAGTTGACTTTCCTTTCGCATCTTAAATTTCGCAATAAAGAGCTCAAATGTTCAAAAACAGTTATGGAATTTACTTTTATTATTTTCTCTCATTACTTTACTTATACATTATTACTGTTACTTATTTTGGATGAACCAATGACTGTGACATGCAACGAGACAACGCAACAAACGAACATAGATTCAGAGGAAGATGATATACCGGAAGAGATTGTTAAAGAAGTTGAGAATTTTGAGAACAGACCTAAGTCTAACCTGGACGAGACTGAGATTGTTAACCTGGGAGATGCAGAAAACATCAAAGAAACACGAATCAACGTTCATTTGTCACCATCAGAAAAGGAAGAATACACAGAGTTTCTAAGAGAATATGAGGACATATTTGCCTGGTCGTACGACGACATGACTGGTCTGAGTACATCTATTGTGGCTCACAAATTGCCAACCGATCCAGCCTGTCCGCCAGTAAAATAGAAGCTCAGAAAGTTCAAGCTAGACATGAGTTTGAAAATCAAGGAAGAAGTCACTAAGCAGGTCAAAGCTAAGGTTCTCAGGGTAGTGGAATATCCAACGTGGTTAGCCAACATTATGCCAGTACCGAAGAAGGACGGGAAGGTTAGAGTCTGTGTCGACTAACGGGATCTCAACCGGGTCAGTCCAAAAGACGACTTCCCCTTGCCAAACATACACATCCTGATTGACAATTGCGCCAAGCATGAGTTGCAATCATTTATAGATTGTTTCGCGGGTTATCATCAGATCTGGATGGATGAAGAAGATGCTGAGAAAACGGCTTTCATTACGGTGTGGGGGATGTACTGCTACAAGATGATGCCATTCGGGTTAAAGAATGCTGGTGCCACTTATATGAGGGCCATGACTACCATTTTCCATGATATGATACACAAGGAGATCGAAGTATATGTAATTTGAACTACGTCTGACCTGATTCCCGTTTAAGAGGGGATACGTAGGCAGCCTTATGGGTTTGGTCACAATTCAATAAAAATTTTCATTTCCCCCCTGCAATTGGAAACTGGGGCAGAATTTTGAGGAGGACCCTCAAAATTCCGAAGTAACTTCAACCGATCCTCGCAAGCAACCGTCAGAAGCAGCAACCCAGTAAACTAGGGCAGAA